TGGGTGGTTGGGTGTGAATGCACGAAAAAGGGCTGCTTGGGCGTGTCGGGAGTGGCACACTTCAGCTCTGAGCGCTCCTGGGGGGAATTGGGTATATATTTTTTCGGTTTCGGAATCACCTCTGCGCCGACCTCCGCGTAGGCCGCGCGGCCAAGGCCTCGGCGGGCCGCTCGCCTCCTGCTTTCTCCGCAGCCCGCCCCTGCGGTCACTCGCTCACGGGCGCGGGGCCCTCATCGGGGCGAGAGCCACCCCACACACCCGCGGGCCCGGGGGCGGGAGGCCTGGGGACACGGACACTGATGGGTGGTTGGGTGTAATCAGCGCGGGCCGCGCGCAATGGAGCAAGCGAGGGGGGAAGGGGAGAGGAGAGCGAGCGAGGCGGATTAAAAAAAAAAAAAAAAAAAAGGCTTTCAGGGAGAGGGAACGGGCCGCGAAGATGGGACGACTGCCCGCTCTAGCTCTAGGTGCCCCAGCTGCCCGGCCCCCGCCGCAGTCAGGAATTCCCACAAAATCGCGGGGGCCGGGGGGAGCGGACAGGCCGAGGCGGGAGGAAGAGCGAGGTGGGAGGGGGAACTGGGAGGCGGAGGCCGTCACGTGGAGAAGGGCCGACACCGCTCGCCCGAAGGCCGCCGGAAAGAGCCGAAGGGAGAGGGCGAGGCCGAGGAAGTGGCGGAAAAAGCCGAAAGGAGCTGGGTGAGAGACCGGAGGCGGCTAGGAAAAGTCGGAAAAAGTCGAAGCAGGTCTGGGTCCAGAGGAACGTGAAGCCGAAGATGTTGTGGAGAACGAATCGGCAGCCTGGATGAGGCGGAAACAGCCGAGGCAGATCGCTACGGAGCAAGACGGGGAACTGCTATAATCCGGAAAGACCCGAAGGCGACGTCGGGTGGGTGGTAGGAGACGGAAATAGCCGAAAGAGGACAACTGAGGGTAATAGGATTAAGAGAGAATGAGCTAAACAGGCAAGGCTGTAGAGACGATTGAGTAAATGACTTTGATGAATTCACTGAAATGGAAGAACCGAAAATTGCTATCTTGAAGGGAAGCGAGAGGAGCCAAAAGTTTTAGGAAGAAGAATAAGAGGAAAGGAATCCCGACTCTCGAGCGGAAAAAAAAAGATCGAAGGCTGGGGGTCGGGTGCCAGGAGTCAGGAGTCGAAGATTTCCGAAGAGGAGACAGAGCCGAGCAGGCCCGGAGATGACGTCACTGGATAGTTCTGTCAAAGACTTCGTCCTGGGGGCGAGAGAGGCGGGGCTTCGTAGTGCCTTGGTTTAGGGGCGGGGAGTTGAGAACTTGGGGCGTGGTACCTCAAGGCTCTAAGATACTCGACTTGGAAGCGATACTGGTTTCATAATCTGTACAGTCATAAAATGTTTTGACCCTCACAATGTCGGGAGCTGTTGTTAATTTCATTTTAGAGATGGTAAACTAAAAACTCGGTGTTTGGCTCAAGGTCATAGGATTAGCCCTAAGGAACCGAGAGCGATTTTTAATCAGTTGACATTCCATTGCTCCTGGCAAAATTGTTCAATCCTATTTGCATCTAATGGATTTTCATACAATGCTTTTATTACCACTTTCTATAGTGTCATTCCTGTGAAGGACAGTGGGAACAGTTTGTATTTTCTTGGAGTTTAATGATAATGCCTCTGGGGAGGGTCCTGTCTCTGAGGGGTCAAGGGAAAGGCAGGATTGTCTGGGCAGGGACACGAAAAAGTAAAGGTTAAGAAGGAGGAAATACAAATACTTTATGCCCTGACGAGGCAAGGACTTCTTAGAGTCCAGGAACAGAAAAAAAACCTGTGTGGCGAGAGTGACAGGTCTGCAGGTAGAGGTAACAGGTAACTTCTATATACATCCTACTAGAAAAGAAAAAAATGAGAGCCAGCCGGTTGTGCGGTGGTTAAGGTGGCTGGATCGCACATGGCCAAGTTTTTTTTTTTTCTTTTTTTGGAGAGATTTTTTGCTATAGGGTGTGTGCAATCCCCGGAAAGACAGAGAGACAGAAAGCGAGAAATCACCCCCCAGGGGGGATGGCCACCCGTAATCCCTTCTCTTCCATTCTCCTCTCAGGATCTTGGGCACTCACGCACACACCCTGCATGAGTTTAAGCCACCGGGTCTGGGACTCGAATCGCGGTCAACCACGTGAGAGTCCAACAACATAGCCATTATGCCAACTGCTGGTCCCCGACATGGCCAACTTTGTGATTAGATTCCCTGATCTGCAACTTGGAAAACATGCTGGGTGCACTTGTGTGGGTGCCCAAAATGCCAAGAGGAGAATGAAATAGAAGCAGTTGTGGTGTAATCATTCTTCTTTCTTTTTTTTTTTTTTTGAGAGGTTTTTGCCATAGGGCGCATGCGCTCAACAGACAGCGACAGAGAGAAACTGAGAAATCACCCCCTGGGGGAGATTTCCACGCTGCAATCCCTCCATTCTCTTCTCCAGATCCTGGGCACACATGCACACACACGCCCAATGTGAGTTTAAGCCACCGGGTCCTGGACTCAAACCACAGTCGACTATATAGGAGTCCAGTGACATAGCCATTACGCTAACAGCTGATCCCTAATCATTCTTCTTTCTCACTTTCCTTCTCTGTCAAACACACAGGCCGTGTAACAAAAACTAAAAAAAAAGAAAATGAGCCAGCCAGTGGCATAGTGGTGAAGGCACATGATAGACTATGCAGTTTTCCTGGAACTGGCAGTTTAAACATCGCATAATCCTGAAAATGGAGATGAGACTGATCATCTCCCCATGGGGAGTACGTTCTCATTTTCCTCTGCTCTCTCTGTCTTTCCCTGCCAAGTACCTGTGCCCTCTAGCAAATTAAAAGATAAATTAGTTAATAAAATAAAATATTGTTCCAAATCTGATCTGGGACACAAGATTCTGTGGGCTCAAACCACAGTCAGCCATTAGGGAGTCTAGCATCATTTTTTAAAAATTATTTTATTTAACTTTATTTATTTTAATTTGACCAGAAAGGGAAAAAGAGAGAGAGAAAGAGAGAGAGGGAGAGAGAAAGCAAGCAAGCTGCCAGGTCCAGGACTTAAACTGTGGTTGACCATGTGGGAGTCTAGCACCCTTAATCATCACACCACCACCTGCTGGCCTCAAGAGAGTCTAGCATCTTAAACATTATGCTACATACTGACCCAAGTGCAATAAAACATTTGGAATGTGCTTACTGTTTTCATTGAGTCATTTTTTATTTAATTTTATTTATTCATTCATTTACTTGAGAAGGTAAGCCACCAGGTCCAGGACTTGAACCATGTTCAGCCATGCGGGAGTGTCTAGCACTTTAACCACCACGCCACCTGCTGGTTCCATCATTGAGTGATGTTTTTCATTTAAAAAAATTATTCCTGGTACCAGCAGTTGGTGTAGTGGCTATGTCACTGGATTCCCATGTAGTTGACCATGGTTCGAGTCCTGGACCCGGTGGCTTAAACTCACGCCAGGCGCTTGTGCGTGCGGCCCAAGATCCTGAGAGGAGAATGGAGGAGAAGGGATTGTGGCATGGCCATCCCCCCGGGGGGGGATTTCTCGCTTTCTGTCTCTCTGGTCTCACTCTGTCTTTCTAGCGAGCGCACACCCCCTATAGCGAAAAACTCTCCCCCAAAAAAAATAAATAAATAAATTGTAAAAAACAATAGCAAATGGGATTAAATAAATGAATAATTCTTTAAAAAATTCTTACAAACTACAAAAGCATGAACCAGAATGTTCACAGCAACATCTGCGAATAGTAAATAGTCTCAAGGAGGAACTACCTAAATGCCTATCCACAGAACAGCTAAGTGCATTGTGCTCTGTTCTCATCCCTATTTGCCATCCATGTTTTGAGAATCCCTGGATCTGTGGGGTCATAAAACCTAAATAGTAGAATCATTTGCATTATATCCTATACCATCTAAACAATCTCCTCTTGGGGACAGCCAATGGCATGGTGTTTAAGGCGCTGGACTCCCTCGTAGTCAACCACGGTTTGAGTCCCAGACTCAGTGACTTGAAACTCACATTGGGCACGTGTGTATGCGTGCCCAAAATCCCAAGTGGAGAATGGAGGAGAAGGGATTGTAACATGGCCATCCCCCTAGGGGGTGATTTCTCATTTTCTGTTTTTCTCTCGGTCTTTCCGGTAAGTAAGTACACAAGCCCTATAGCAAAAATCTCCACCCCCAAGGGACCAGCAAGTGGCATGGTAGTTGGGGTGCTGGACACTGACCATAGTTCGAGTCCTGGACCTTGTGGCTTGCTATCTCACTCTCTCTGTCTCTCTCTCTGTGTTTCTCTCTGGTCAAATTTGAACAAATGAATGAATAAATAAAATTAAATAATTCTTAAAAATAATCCCCCACCCAAAAAAAAGAAAGAAAGAGGGGGCTAGCAGGTGGCGTGGTGGTTAAGGGCACTGAACTACATGGCTGACCACATCAAGTGCCAGACCTGATGGCTTGCTTTCTAACTTTCTCTCTTTCTTACTCTGTCCCTTTCTGGTCAAAACTCAAATAAAGGGACCAGCAGTTAGCGTAATGGCTATGTGGCTGGACTCCCACGAAGCTGACCGTGGCTTGCATCCCGGGCCCCGGGGGTTAAAACTTGGACCTGGTGGCTTAAAACTCACGCTGGGTGCATGTGCGTGCCTGCCCAAGATCCAGAGAGGAGAATAGAGGAGAAGGGATTGCGGCCTGGCCATCCCCACTAAAGGGTGATTTCTCGCTTTCTGTCTCTCTGTCTCTCTCTGTCTGGCGAGTGCACGCGCCCTATAGCAAAAACCTCTCAAAAACAAAACAAAACAAAACAAAACTCTGGGTCCAA